GCACCCCCCGCCAGAGCCAGCCGCGCGGGGGCCGCTGCTCGGCGCTGGGTGTGGAGGCTGCTAGAAAGGGGCTGTGGTTGGGGAGGGAGCAAAATAAATAAATAATAATAATAAAGGGTGAGGAGGGCCTGCGTTGTAGAAGCATAGCTGGGAGAGCCATGGAGGTGATGCTCTGGCATCCCGCAGCACCCACTGGACTGTGTCTAGGATAAGGTGCCCAGTTTTGGCCCCCTGGTACAGGAAGGAGCAGGGCAAAGGGGAGCAGGCACAGCGGAGGGCCGCAGGCAAGGTGGGAGCTGGAGCAGCTTCCCTTTGGAGCAAGGAGAGGCCGGGGAAGAGGAGGCTGTAGGGGCACCAATATCATAGAATCATCATGGCTGGAAAAGACCTTCAAGATCATTGAGTCCAACAGCAAACCCATCACCACCATGTCCCTGATGCCTGCTAAGCCATTTCCCTGAGGGCCTCATCTGCACATTTCTTCAACACTGCCAGGGACGGTGACTCTGCCACTTCTCTGGGCAGCCTATTCCAGTGCTTCATCACTCTTCCCATGCAGACTTTTTTCCTAATATCTAACCTGAACCTCCCCTGGTGCAACTTGAGGCCATTTCTTCTTCTCCTATTTTCAGTAGTTATTCTGGAGAAGAGATTGACTCACACCTCACCACATCGTCCCTTCAGGTAGGTGTAGAGAGCGATAAGGTCTCCGCTGAGCCTCCTCCAGACCAAATAACCCAGTTCCCTCAGCCGCTCCTCGTAAGGTCTGTGCTCCAGCCCCTTCACCAGCTTCGTTGCCCTTCTTCGGACATGCCCCAGCACCTCCATGTCTTTCTTGTACTGAGGGGCCCCAAACTGAACACAATATTTGAGGTGAGGCCTCAGCAGCGCCAAGTATGGGGGGAGTCCCCTGCAAGGGGGTCACTGTAAGTGTGTAGCCAGCCCCACAATTGTATGCAGTGAGAGGATGAGAGACGATGGGCAGGAGTCAAAACAAGAGATGTGCGGGATAGATTTAAGGACAAGCTTTCAGGAGACCTTCAGGCAATGTCACAGGTTGCCCAGAGAGTTTGGAAGTCTTGGGGGTTGGAGGTTTTCAAGCCCCAGCTGAGTAAAACTCCATGGACTGTGGGTCTGAGCTCAGAGCTGAACCTGTCTTGAACAGCATGTTGGACCAGTGATGTCCTGAGCCCTTTCCAACCCAAATTATCCAGTGATCCTATGACAGCTTTCAATGAGCCCATTTTCTTTTTTTTTTTCTTTTTTTAACCAATGCAATTAGAAAAATGAAGAGCAGCTGTCCTTTATGAAACACTCTGTTTGGGTTTAATTTCTTGTAACGACTGCAGTCAATTAAGAGATTTGGGTACTAAATGTCAGTTAGAGACCTTGTTCCTACTGCAAGTCAATAAAGTCTCCAACCTCTTATTGCAATATTTTAGAAATCTCGTTTTCACATCCCATTTCAAGATGAAAAAGCCATGGTTATTATGGACTGCTAGGCAACTCTGCCCTGAAACCAAGTTTAACACAAATGTGAGCATCCATTCCCAGATAGTACAAAAACTACATCTAATCAGAATATATACAGAAGGGGCTTCTTGCCCCTTCCAGGGCTGCTTGGTGATATAAAGGAAAATCTTCTACTCATCCTATGAAAGGTTGTAGAGAGAGATACTGAGTGACTTTCTTTTATAGTTATGGTGATGCTGTAGCAAGGAGCTGGAAGTAGAACTGCATTTTCCTGCATTTCAGGTTGGCACTGTTCTTCTTTGGCTCCCTGAGCCAAACCTAGTGTTCAGAAATTTCAAACAGGGCTCATTGATATGACACAAGAGTCAGGGTTGAGATTTCCTACTTTGAAGTACTTCTTGCCTACTTTCTAGAATGGTGCTCCCCAAAACATTAAAAAATACTTCGTTCAGGAAACCGAAGGAATCATGTGGTACTAAGTATTTTCCTAATGCTGAGGCCTTCTATATACATACACAAGATCAGAGTCCCGAGGAAATTATGGACTCTAGCCTGAGCATATGACAGGAAACAGAAGGAGAAGACAGATCCCCTTTTAATAACAGTAATGCCCTCACAGTATTGCCACCAGGAGATAGGATCTTCCTGTTTTCTGCTCAATAAAATATGTTCTTATTACACTCAGACTATATTGAGCATCTTTTAGACAGCGTTGGCTCAAGAGTGCTGCACACAGTTTTCCTACGTGCTGTGAATTTCCTCTGTGACATTTAATGAGCAGCCAAAAATCATTTTTTCTTATAAAATGAATCCATTGCATTTACATCAACTAATGCTGAATTTGAGTTAGAGACTATAGAGGGTGGTTATGGTGGATGGTGTATGTTACTGGAAGAAGCTCAGTCTGGTTTTCACAGCTATAAATGTAAGAGGCATCTGTAGCTAAAAATAAAGAAAAAAGAAGAAAAAAAATGTGTCAAGGACAACTTTCCTTTTTTGAGCGATCCCCCAAATTTGCCTTTACCTCCGACTGTAGAGTCTGGCAGACAGGCAGGACTCACTGCCATCTTGGCACTGACTGTAACTTGGACGGAGCGTATTTATTTAATCTTGGAGAAGGGAAGGAATCAGAAGGAGACATGTTGAGACCATTTCCCCAACATCACTGATGTCATTTTGGTCAGCTTTC